GCAGTATTCTGTTTTGGTTGGGTTCTTGATCTATAATTTTTCTTATGCGCATGTGTTTACCGCGTGTAATAAACATACATACATACAATCAGTCGGAATGTTGACCAATAAAGCAGCTCAGCCATAGCAAATCTGTACATCAGAGCAGTATGGCACATGATGGTCTTGAATTCTTACAACGATTGGTTGTATTCAGCTGCCGAGTTGGACCTCATTTCGCGCCATTACGTCCAGATCAGCTGGCTATACCGAGGATGGTCTTTGTTCTCTTTGCATACGCAATTCTACTGCTATACAACTGCTTCCCGCAACTCAACCCTTGTATCGAGGGCCAGCGTACTGACTATATTTCCCTTGTTCTGATTGTGTTCTTGTTTTCTTGTAATCGACTCTCTTTCCTTACTGAATTTCCGTCGTATGTGGTTACTCCCAAGTAACTTGTGCATGTAATGCTAGCATCTTCCGTTTCATTGACGAATTCTGTGAGCGCTCTGATCGCGCTGATCGGAGTTTTCCAGTGTTCTGGGTTAGCATTCCTAACGAAATTCCAATAGATCCATAGGACAATTCCCTTTTTTCTATCTAACTGCATCAAGGTGCATTCTAATTCCATTCTATACTTTATAAAAGGAATTCACCTGACTGTTAGATCTCAATGATTCCTTTTTCTTCTTTCTTCTTTTTTTTCGAAGAACTGGCAGTTGATTTTCTGAGCAGAAAATCTCCTCTCAGTTCATGCCATTATTTCTGTCCGCTACTGATACAATCGTACTGGTTGGTTTCACAGATGCAGTTCAATGCAGCTACGAACAGGAGCAGATTGATTTTGTTGGGCTTTATGGATTGGTCTTCGACAACGGATGGGTAAATCATGGTATTGTGTTGGATGTTTTGAAGGTTCACGGTTGAATACCTTTAGTTGTTTTTCGGTTTCAGCCCTTAGATTTTAACGGGGTAGCCATATTGAAAGGTGTTACATGAATCTATCTATGAGTAAGCCATTGCAGGTGAAAGTATGAAGAACGTCTCACAAACCGATATCAAATGGATGAAGGATGCAGTTGGAAGGTGGTATTAGAACGATGATGTTTAAGGATCGATGTTCACGGAACGTATCTAGGTCTCTAAGGTAAGGATCGCATCGAAATATTGGGCTCCTGGTTGTCGCTTGCAAAAACTGCGAAAGTAGAACGAGATGTTAAGTTTGACATTGGATCGACAGTGCGAAGTTGCATGGGTCAGGTGCATTTCGAATATTTTCGATTTCTATGGGAAATCGAATGCGTGGCGTACCCTTTATGCTTTTGCCAATACCGAAAGCCACTCCAAGCTTTCAAGTCGTGGCTGGCATTCTAAATATCATCGTCAATCGTTTGGGATGGAACCTACGTATAGAGCTCACTCCCTTATGCATTTTTTGAGCACTTTGGAGTTTGCTTGTCAATTCTCCCTCTCCCCACCCGCTACTGTAGCACTAGCATGGGTGAAAAAGTCGATGAAGGGGGTGAGGGACTGCTCTTTTCCAAGCTGAGCGCTAGAGCTCAGAGAAGGAGGTATAGTTGATCTGCTTTTGTTTAGAGAAGATCCTAACCTAGAGGAACATAGTCCACCCAAGTCTAGTAGGGAGAAGCAGAGCACAGGGGTGGGTGAGTCAATTGGAGATGATCTTACCCATCCCGGTGCAAATAGCTGGGTTCGATTAGAAATCGAGCTTTCAACAAACTCACCCATCCCTGTGCTCTTTTCCTTCTAAGGCTTGGCTCAAAAATTTTACGGCTAAGCAATGTTCCTAAACGCTATTGTGGGCTTATAAAATCCTTAACCATTCTTCCTCCGCGGGAAGACGGGCAGTGGAATCAGTTGTAATCGATTTGCCGCACGCGACAGTCGCGGACGAGTTGCCTTGTTGTTGCACTTCTAGCGTTCTCCATACAGCTCGATCGATNTCATTTTTGACTGATTCTACTGTTGCCTTTTGTTCCCGTATTCCTTACTCGCAGGCCGCTTTTGCTTCATTCTGCTACAACCCTTCGCGCGCGACGTCGCTCTCGCTGCGAAGCGACCATTCCGATTCAACTGCATCACATCTCCATTAGATGTCTTTTCGAGGCCATGGCGCAATGAGTTACGCGCTTAAGCCGTGATCGTTGATCAGAAATCCACATGCACAGGTACCATAGGCATTGGGCTGCAACCATTCGTGAAATCGCAGCTACCTTTTACGCTTTTGCTCGTTGCAGCAACTATCCTCGCTACGTCACGCCTGCTGCCGAAAGCACACGTCTTGGAGCGTAAGAGGGCTGAAGGGAGGGCAAAACCAGAAAATGCATAGTGGGGAAGGTGGTGTGGAGCGGTGTGTGTGTCTGTGTGCGTGAGGGAGGAGGAGGAGGAGGTCTGTCTGGATGCTGCGCATTTACGTGCAGCTACGTAATTACCCACGACGATACCGGCTCCTTAGGCTAAGGTCAACTCAACTGGATCACTCAACCAAAGCCGTCGTCGTCGTCGTCGTCGTCTCAGCTGCCTTCTACATCTCTAGCTAGCTATTCCTTATTCTCCCCCGAAGCTTACCACCTTATAGCATACCGTCACCCGGCTATACCTTCCATAGGGATCCGGCTAGTGTGTTGATTCAGAACACGGATCAAGGGATTTATGCAAATTTTGACGCTTTTCGTCCCCCCAGCCAATCCAGCCACGTCTTCCTCCGCCTGGTTTTTCAAGGTTTCTCGAATCCAGTTTCGTCATCTCGATAGTCCCCATGTGCTTCTCCATTCCATGAAATAACGCTACTATTGAAAAAGAATTTTCAGATATTCTATAGCCCATAATCTGCTCCTGCTGAAACAAAGAATTTTAATAATTCATCTTATATTGTGATGAAGTTTCCAGCAACAACTATCTCATTACTTCTGGCTTTGTTTATTTCACCAGGTTTGTACCTCAACTCTTTTTCGACTCACCGTTTTGCCCGTGGAGTAGAGTCGTGGCTCACAGAACCAGTGTCGCTACTTTATGATAATCATAGTGTTCATAAAAGGTTGAGCAAAAGATTCTTTAGACTTCCGTTTTGTAACGCTCCCACATGTATGCCTTTCTCCAGATTGGGAGGTGTGTTTGAATGTGTGGGTGGTCCAAAAAATGAAGTGCGGGGGTCAGCTGGCACCCAAATCAGTGCTCTTATCTTCCCAGATACCTCTCTCTGCCTCTCCGTTACGAATCCACTGACCCCAAAGGAATGGGACCCTTTTTGGCTCAGGCGGATTTCGATTTGATAGGCTTGGAACATGAAAACGAATTACTATAGTTACCTTGCAGGTTGTATAATTCAAATGAGAAGTCTTCGTTTTGAACCCTTCTTTTCATGGTTATTTTCGCAAGTTCTATTAAAATGGAACAATTAAAGAAAAGTTCAGGTGCTTGACAGACCGCTAAAAAAGTTTTAATTGTTCGCATTCAATGGGATGGCCTTGACGACAAGTAGAAAGTAATAAAACTCTGGACAGTGCAAATAATAATTTTTAAAATTGTTCAAAAATTGCTCAAATAATCTCGCTCGAATCTACTAGTTCTGTTTGTGTATTTCTCAATTGCAAAATAGCTTTTATTCCAAACTTTTTGAACAAAGTTTTGACTTTTGTTCATCCAGTAGAGTTGTACTATATGGCGAAGACGGTTTCATAGTCATTTCCACTGAAGGAAAACTAGACGGTCGTTCCAAGCGCCCTTCGCTTGGCTTTTCCTCGTTCTGCCGTTTCAATCGATAACCATTTCCATAATAGCCTGGCGATACCCTGAAAGGAGAGGAGTTTACGAAAAAAAAAAAGTTGTAAATCAATGTAGAAACAGTATGTCTCCCGGGAGTGCTCGGNTTCAGCTGCAATTTTCGAGTGGAAGTGAGTTCCATGGAGGTCAAAAGGGTTTTCAACTCTTTTGACCTGACACTGCCTGGAAAAAGTTTTCAGTTGTCCCAAACTCCTTTCAAATACGCTTACCAGTTATAATTACTTTCTTTTGACTTTGAAAGGGGGTTTATTGTAACTTGGCAACCAAATTCTGCTTCTCAAAGTATGTTGCGAACTCTCTTAAATGCTCACTTTGGGATGTAGATAATGTTCTAGGCATTGAACACCGACCATTCCTTCTGGGACGCTTCGCATATACAACCCCCATATTCAGGTTTTAGTTTAGTTAGCGTTCCATCAGGCGTTGGTCATATAGAAGTCAGAATTCGAAAGATTCTGTATCATGCCAATGTTGGAAAGGTTAATCGGTCAGGAAGGGACGGTTCGCCACAAATTTCACTTGGGGTGGCGCCAAAATTTTGTTCCTCGGCAATCTCTTCAGGCTTGATCATTTCTTCAGGTGTTGGACTTTGCTGCGGAATTGATCCACGTCAAGGAAATCATCGAGCCTCCTTCAAAAAAGAAAGAAAAGACTCACTCGAGTCGAGCAGTGGTGGCGTGAAAAATTTATTTTCATCAGGAATATTTTTGATAATTTTCATTTGAAATGCATTCTGAGGTCCTAGCTCAACCAGAAATGTCATGTGCCTTTTTCATGGCCCAATATCTAAGGCTGGGTTTTGTTCAGAACTTGAAACTAGCCTTAGAATTTTCTTAAAACTAAAGTTCTTTGAAAAGTGTCATTAAACATGGAACAGAAAAAGACATAATTACGCGTTTACTTAATTTACCCTTATGTTTTGCATTTAATTGCTCCTTCCTCACTAAATTACTCAGATACGAACAAAATTGTCAGGGGATCGAACCATGGAACATTGCTTTCTTGACAAAAGCACGGGATCGAAGCCCTTTGAGGCCAAAACTTGGCCCATTGCATGTTCCCGGGTCCAAATTTGGTAATGTGAGTTCTGTTGTGCATTCGAATGGTAAGCCCCCCCTAGAGTCGATCGAAATCAATTCGGAGAACTCGTCCACTCCTCGATTTGCGTCACGGGTGTGTATCGTTAGATTGCGACGTTGCGCGAATATCTAGTATTGGGCGCGCTGCACAATAGCCTAGCAAAATGGGTTACGTCAGTATGTGAGTCGTTACCCTCCCTTGGAGGGGCGAATATGGTGCGAAGCGCTTCCCAAACCTGCGTCAAGCTGCACTCAGACCCGAAGTCGCAGGGCCTTTATGCAACGGATAGACTCCATTTGTAACTATTTTTCGTCATGTATGCGAATAGCAAAAATAAAGGGAAAAGTGGAAAGTTAACTGTGATCACAGAAAACTCGTCCAGGGGTCGTCAAAAGACCGTCTTATGAACGTTTCCCACGCATAGTCGATAAGAACAGCGGGCGCGCAGCGAGGCAGCTAATCAGACAGCCAATGAGGACATAGCACATTGCGCGGCAACTATCTAGTAATACGTCACCGATGAGAGGATCGGGGATAGAGTCATGCAATTAGATTATTTTCAGCAGTTCGTTACTTAGTTAATCTTTTTTAGCACCTGGAATGCGCGTGTGCTCTCGGAAGCGATATGTATTCACATCAACAGCCGTACTTCAACGAGTACACTTGCCGACTCCGGAACGTTGTGTTGAACGTTGCGTTGAGAATATGTCATTTTGTAAAGCAGCCGTCTATACACCTTACAGAGACACGGTATGTAACGTCTGATACGAGTTATACTCCTTTTGATCATATTTTTCCTGTGCACGTCTCTCTAAATAATGGGTTCTAAGGTCCCTTTTTTTACAAATTCAAATTTTACAATTTCAGTAATAAACAACCATGGAGATCTTGATTACAACATCTCTTTGTTTGTCATTCGAGCTTTGGGTAAACTAAAATGCTCAGAAACCCCCTTAAGTCCACGAAATTTCAGCAGATTAATGGAATTTTTCGATAAGTTATAATTGAGGGACAGTGGCCCACTCTACGACCCGATTTCTTTGCTTTCCCTTTTATTCGTTTGTTGTTCCTATTGTTGTTTGTTTATCCTATTATTAAATATTTCCACCTTTTATTATACAGTAGTTGTGTGTGGTATTTTTTTCCGATTCACTGAGAGGTTGTTTCTTTTCAGACAATTGGTGTTTGTACGTTGTTTTCGGAAAACAGCGTTCAACAGCCGACAGCTCTTCACCCAGACGCGTCCGTGGAACCGGTATGTCCTCAAATGATGCTTGCCGTAATTGTATAATTATCCAAAATACTAACTGTAAAATAAGCATCAATCAAGTACGTGGCGAAGGAACCTTCACAAGTAGTGGACATCATTAGTGTTTAAGTAAATTGTGTTCTACATCGTAAATCAGCAAAATCGTGATGAAGGGGTCGGTAATAACAAAAAAGTGACCTCGCTCGACTTAGGGAAGTTGGTTGCTACATTTCGAATACATTTTTCGGAACTAAATGAATTTGGCTCCGAAAAGAGAATGTTCAGAAAGTAATCCCATATTTGTGAACACGTGGGGAGGAATTACCTGAAATTAACAGGCGTTCAGGTTTGAGTCATGTAATTCAGTGCATACCACAGACATTTATTGTGACGATAATTCCACTCCACAACTATTTTCTTCTTTGAGCAGCCCTGAGCAGCTTAGGAAATCCATTCACTTGGCGCCCCTGCGGGAGGAGATCT